CTTGTAAATTGCTTGATTTTATAAAAAATTTTGTGCTTTTTTTTTATTTACCATGTTTTTGCATATTGCGTGTTTTTAAATTTGTTTTTAATTTGTTAGAATTTTAAAATTGTTTTATGTTTTCTTTTTTTTTTTTTTGTAAATTCAGCAATTTTTTTTTTAAATTTTCTTGCAAAAAACCAACTATCTCAAGCTTTATATAATTTTTTTGATTTACGTAAATTTCCTATGATAACTCAAATTTTACATAAATAATTAAAATTGTTTTTCTGTCATAAAAAGTGTTGAAAATGTCGAATAAAAAGTGCAAGAATTTTGTTTTATTATAAAACTACTACTTTCTGTTTGATGATTTTTTAAATAAACTTTACTTTTATATTATATATTTACATACATCTAAACAATTGCACATTTAAACACGCAATACATTCATTCACAATTAAAAAAACAAATTAAAAAAAAAGTTTAAAACAAAATTTATATAACACACTTAGAGAAATATTTTTGTTTTTTTTTTATTATTTTAATAGAAGAAATTAGTTTTTTTTATAATAATATTTATAATATTTTATGGCTTTTTTTTGTTCTTTTATAAATCTAAAATAATATTTTTTTGAGCATTTCTTTTCTTTTATTATTATAATAATAATTATAATTTTTATTATATTTAAAGTAGCTGTCTTATAAAATTAATATTTTTTTTTAACTTTTATACTTTGAACACACTCATACATTTACTTTTTTTTTCAAATTTTTAATAAGAGTGAAGAAATAGTTTTCTTTTTTTAGTTGTTAAAATAGTAAATTGCTTTTTTGAATAAATTCTTTGGAAAAATATTATATTTTTATATTTATACAAAAATTAAAAGTGTTTATTTTATTTTTAAATGTAAAGTATTCAAATAGCTTTTATTTGTTTTTTGTTTTTGCCTTTTTTTAAATTTTATTGTATATATCAAGGATATGTCTACGTTTTTTCACTAATTTCTCTTTATTTATAAAGTTTAGGTTTCATTTTTATAAAATTTTTCAAAATTATTTTTAGGTTTTTCTTAATTTATATTTATTTTAAAATTTTTTAGCTGCCAATTAAAGAAATTTATTAAAAATATTAAAATAAAATAAAAAAAGATTGCAATTATAACAGGAACATAAATTGTATAAAAAATTAATAAAAAGAGAAATGTATTCAATTAGTAATTAACACTAAAACTATCGAATTTTAATAAAAATTTTGTATCTAAAGGGAAGAAATCTCATAATAATTCTCCTTTTCATATTTTGCAAATATCTCAAATAAGTTAAAAAAGTTTTGTGAGGCGAAAAAAACTTGAGATTTGAAATTGTAAACGAGAGAATTAAAATTCTGATTTACTTGATATATCTTAACTTTTCCTTAAGGAAATCAATTTCAAAAGACGTGGATTTAATGCCATTTTAAAGATGTCACAATGAGGGCTTTGAATTTTGTTTTCCTTAATATCTATACCAGGATGCACTACTTATTACATCATGATCTATACGATAGCCACGGACTATTAAACAGACTAGTTCATGTACTAGTCAATAAACTAGTTCATAGATTAATCAACAGACTAGTTCATAGACTAGTCAAGAGACTAGCTTATAGATTAGTATAATGTAAAGATCACGAATACGGCATTTCAGCAGACAATCAACTTTCTTAAGGGGTACTATACAAACTCGACTCTGAACTAATTTCCGTGCCCGTAGTGTCTGCTGGCGCATAGTTGTAAACATTTTTCAGAAGTTAAGTTGATTTGAAAGTTTTCTTTGGATTATACATTTTGTTTAATAAGTGCCACTCTTTTATTAGTATTAATAAGAAATTAGTTAGATTAGTTAGTCCATAGACAATTGACTAGTCAACAGACTAAGTATTCTTTCATAAACTTGTGAATGGACTAGTCCATACACAGGACAAACGATTATTATATAGACTGGTCAATAAACTACTACTTAGTTTCATAAATCTAATTCATAACTGATCGATAGACTTGTTCAGGCACTAGTCACAAGACAACAGCCTAGTCAAAAGACTAGTCCATAGAAAACTTAATACACTAGTCAACAGATTAGTTCATAGACTAGTCAAGAGACTAGTTTATAGACTAGTCAGCAGACTTTTCCATATACTAGTTCATGGGCTAGTTCATAGTCTCTCCAACAAACTAGACAACAGACTATTTCATAGATTAGTCAACGAACTATTCATAGACTAGTTCATAGACTACTCCATAGACTAGCTTATAGACTAGTTAGCAGATTAGTCAATAAACTAGTCCATAGACTAGTTCATAGTCTTGTCAACAGACTAGTTCATAGACTTGTACAGAAACTAGATCATAGACTAGTCAACGGACTATTAAATAGTCTAGTTCATGAACTAGTCAATAAACTAGTTCATAGACTAATCAACAGACTAGTTCATATACCATAGACTAGTCAAGATATTAGCTTATAGACTAGTCAGCAGACTTGTCCATATACTAGTTCATAGTCTAGTCCAGAAACTAGTTACAGTCCAGACAGACTATTTCATAGACTAGTCAATGAACTAGTTCATAGACGACTCTATAGATTATAAACTAGTTCATTGACTAGTTCATAGCCTTGTCAACAGCCTAGTTCATAGACTAGTCCAGAAACTAGTTCACTGTCCAGTCAACAGACTATTTCATAGACTAGTTTATAAGCTAGTCAAGAGACAAGCTTATAAACTATCCAGCAGACTAATCCATAGACTAGTTCATAGTCTTGTCAACAGACTAGTTCATAGACTTGTACAGAAACTAGATCATAGACTAGTCAACGGACTATTAAACAGACTAGTTCATAGACTAGTCCATAGACTCGTTCATAGACTATAAACTAGTCGATAGTCCATGGACTAGTTTAGAGCCTTGTCAACAGACTAGTCCATAGACTCGTTCATAGACTATAAACTAGTCGATAGTACATGGACTAGTTCAGAGCCTTGTCAACAGACTAATTCATAGACTAGTCCAGAAACATGTTCATAGTCCAGTCAACAGGCTATTTCATAGTTCACATACTAGTCAAGAGACTATATTATAAACTAGCCAGCAGACTTGTCCATAGACCAGTTCATTGTCTTGTCAATAGACTAGTTCATAGAATTGTCCAGAAACTAAATCATAGACTAGTCAATGGACTATTAAACAGACTACTTAATGGACTAGTCCATAGACTAGATTAATCAACAGGCTAGTTCATAGACTACTCAATAGACTATTCCATAGACCAATCAGCAGACTAGTTCGTAGACAAGGCAGAAGACTAGTTCATAGATAAGACAACACACTAGTCTATAGACTAGTCCACAGACAAGTCCATAGACTACTCAATAGAATAGTTCATATATTAGTTCATAAATTAGTACACAGACTAGACTAGATAATAGAGTAGTCCATAAACTAGGCAATATAATAGTCAATAGACTAGTCCAGAAGAAAAGTAAAATTTGTCATTCAGTTTAAAATGTTATTCTTTTTGTAATTTTTCATAAAAGATTTTGTATTTCAAAATCAAAACCTTGTAAAAATACAATCCAAAATCTGTAGAAACTAAACTAAATTTGATTTGAACAAAAAAAATATAAAACTAAAATCTCGAACTGAATGCATGACAGTGTTTAGTTAGGGAGTTATTGTTAGTTATTCTCAAAACATATTGAATTTTGAGCGCAGAGTTATTAACAATTTTTTTAACTAGAGATAAACTAATTTAAAATTTTGTTATAAAAGTTTTCTTAAAATTTCAAAGCTTTAATTGATAGTTTTAGTGTTAATATTATAATATATTTAAAAATTCTTAAATTAAAATCTTTTTTTTTTAACAAATCATATAATTGAATACATATATGAAAAAAGCAAATTAAAGAAGAAAAAAAAAAATTATTAAAAAAATAAATTTATTCATTAAACAAAGCGTATTTTTTTATACATTTATTTAAAAAATATATATATTTAAATGAGTATTTTTTGTTTGTAGCAATAATTTGAGTAAATAAGGAAAAAAATGAGAAAAAAAAAACTTAAATAAAAATCTCTTAACAAATATAAAACAAAAGTTTTAAATTGAAACTTTTAAAGATAATAATAAAAATGAATTAATAATAAAAAAATAACATAAAATAATGAGTATTTTGTAAATAGTTGCCAAATTAAAGTATAATAATAATTTTTTTCTAAAAAATATAGATTTTTTTTTTATATAAAAATAAGGGCTGCCTTGTTTTTTGCTAAATATTAAATTACAAATAAAATATTTTTTATATAATTTTATATGTTTTTAAACATATGTTTAAAGATTTTTATAATTTTACTTTTTTTTTAATAAAAAAAAAAAACAAAGATTACTTTTACTGTTGCTGAGTAAGAGTGTGTGTGTTGTTAATAAATTTTTAACTTTATTAAACTATTTGTTTAAAAGAAAAATCTTTAAATTTAAAGTTAGTTTTAAATGAATATTTTTTGTTGTTATATTAATTTTCCCAAAAAAAAAAATTTTTTTTTTTTAAGAAAAAGGAAATAATTTTTTTTTAGTTTTAAATCTACTACTGACTGTTTTTCATTTAGTTAAGAGAAGCCCTAGAAATTTTGGTATAAACTTTTGTTTTTGTTTTTTTTTGTATTAAAGAATTAAGGATTGTTTTTTTGTTTAAATTTAATATTAATTCTAGAAATTGTTTTGCAATTATCTTGTTTTTTTTTTTATTAATTTGCTGGACGACATTGAATTTGAACAAAACTACTTGTATTTTTTTTTTAAACTGTTTTGTAATCTAAATATATAATTTCCTTTTCATGTTTCTTTTTTTTAATAAATCTTACTAAAATTCTGTTGAGACTTCTGACTTTCTTTATATAAATATTTTTCTTAATACAACAACGCACTTTAAACGTGTGTTTTTGCTTTTTTTTTATAAAAATGTTTGGTATTTTTTTTTTTTTTTTTTTAAATTATGCGTTTTTTTAAATGAGTATTTTATCATTTCTTTTTAAATTGAGCATTATTTTTTAAGATTTTTGTTGTTTTCTTAGTTCTTTGCAACCCCTGTTCTTGATGATGAGTATTTGAAAATGTTGTTTTGTAATTTTTCCATTAAAATTTATGAGTATTTTGAAAATTATATGTTGATATTTTCAATGATGAAACATTTTATTGAAAATTTAATATGGCGTAAAACGATTGAATCCTCCACGATATATGGTTGCCTAAATGGAAAGATAAAAGGAGATTATTAAAAAACTATTTTTACAAAATAAATATAACAAAGATAACTTTATCAAACAGTTTTTTGAAATTTGAAAAAATTTTTTAAAATTTTCAAAATTTCCAGAATAAGTTGTACAATGAAGTCTGCCACATCTTCTTTCCCCTAATTGTTTTACACATTTGAACTATGTTTATAACTTACCCCATAGCCGGGCACAGGTCCAATACCATGTCCTAAATAAGGATCAGCATATTCTCGGGCATAGCTATTATAATAAAAATTTAAAGCAAAAAAAAAAAAAAAAATATTTCAATTAGTTTTAATTCAATTTTCATTCGTTACTAATCGTTTAATAAATTCGTATCAGTTTGCTTTTTTTGTAGTTGTTATTCAAATCTTGATTAGTAGTGGTAATAGTAGGTTCGGTCCATTAAATTTTTTTTAATTAGTAGATTAGTTTTTGTTTTATGTTATTAATATGTTAGTTATAATTATTAAGCTTCATTAGATATTTGCAAAAGTTTTCAAGTAAAATTTTCAGATTTTCAGTTTTTCTTATTTCGTTTTTTCTAGAAAATAAAAAAAGAAAAATAAAAATGTAAATAAAAGAAAAAAATGTTAAAATTGTAATTATAAATAAAAAGAAAATGAAAATTAAATTTTTAAAAATGAAAGTGAATATTAATACAAAATATAAAACAAATTTTCAAATACTTAAAATAATGTAAATCGAAGTTAATTTTAGAAATTTGATTACAATAAGTATGTTTTCAAAGAAAATTATAATTATAAAATAGACTAGTCCATAGATAAGAAAATAGAGTAGTCCATAGAGGAGTGAATAGACTAGTATATATACTAGTTCATATAATAGGCAATATACTAGTTATTAGGCAAGTCCATATACTATTCTAGAGACTCTGGAATAGACTAGTCCATGAATAAGACAACTTCATAGACTAAACAATAAATTATTCAATAGGCTAGTCCATAGACAAGATAATAGTCCATAGATTAGGAAATACACTAGTTAATAGTCAAGTCCATAGACTAGTCAACAGACAAGTCTATAAACTCTTGAATACAAGAGTATATGGACAAGACAAAAGATAATAGACTAGTTCATAGATTAGGAAATACAATAGCTAATAGGCTAGTCAATAGACTCTATAAACTCTTGAATAGTAAATAGACTAATTCATAGACTAGTACTTAAAGTAGTCAATAGACTAGTTCATAGACTAATCTATAGACTATTCAATGAGTAATCCATATACTAGCCAATATATTAGTCCATAGACTAGACAATACAGTACAGTAGTCAATAGACTAGTGAATAGATTAGGTAATAGATTATTACATAGACTAGTCCATACACTAGTCAGTAGTCTAGTCAATAGACCAAACCATAGACTAGTCCCCAGATTATTGACTAGTTCATATACTAGTTAACAAACAAGTTGACAGATTAGTCCATAGAATACGCAATAGATTAGACCATAGACTAGTACATAGACTAGTCTAAAGACAAGACTATAGACTAGTATATATAATAGTCTATACATTTACTAGTCAATAGTCTAATCCGTATACAAGTCAATAGTCTAGTCTATAGTCTTCTACATAGATTATTCCAAAAACTTTAGAATAGACTAGTCGATGGACTAGTCAATATACTATTCCATAAACTTTTTGAAAAGACTCAATAGACTTTGTCAATTTATTAGTTCACAGACTAGTCAGTAATCTAGTCAATAGACCCATCCATGTACTGGTCAATAGACTATTTCCTAATATTTTTCCGTAGACTAGGCAATAGACTAGTCCACAGGCTAGTCAGTAGTTAACAGACAAGTTAACAGATTAGTATTAATAATAGGCCATAGACTAGTCTAAAGACAAGACTTTAGACTAGGATATATAATAGTCTATAGACTAGTACATATATTAGTCCATAGACTAGTCAATAGTCTAGTCCGTAGACAATTCACTAGTCTAGTCTATAGGCTAGAATATTCTATATACTTAGTAGTTAATAGATTAGAATAGACTGGACTTAAATAGACTAGTTAACTAGTTATTACACTATTCCAAAAACTTTTTGAAAAGTCTAGTCCATAGACAAAACAATAAAACTAGTCTAGAACAGTTAATTATTGTTCAATTTACAAAAATGTTCCGCTTGATAAAAGTTAATTGTTTAAATATTATTATTATTATTATTATTTAATACTCTACACAATTTACAACTTATAATTATTAATAACTAAATATTGTTAACATTAATAATAATTATACACTTCGTAAATAATCGTTCACATACGATCTCCGTAAAACAATATAAATAAGCGGATACATATCGAATCAAAAATAAATTCGTTAAAAAAATGAACAGATTTTTAATAATAGTAACGGTTTTACAAATATTTACAGCAACCAGTGTCAGTGTATTAAAGAAACGAAATCGAAACCTTTCCGATTTTAACTTATTTTTTCATTTCAAATATATTAATTATAGTTCGCTTTTAAATATGGCATTGTTATAAGAGACGAAGAAATATTTTCGCCCTGCAATAACCCGAACTATCATTTTATCGAAGACTATTTAGACATATCCAATTTGAAATATGAAACCTTAGCGAATGGTTCGGTCTATGTTAATGGTGATATCGTATTTATACGGGATATGAAAGGAAATGTGAGAATGTTGTGGTTATATTATTTTACAAAAGATTTTTGACTAATTTATTTTTTTTTATTTAGAATCCCGCTACATTACAAGCGTTTAAGAAACAACGCGGTAATTGGGTCAGTACTGTTTACAATTTAGGACGCCCAGATGCTTGTAAGCATATTTTCGATCACAGCGAAATATGGGCCAGTGTATTGGATGTTATACCGGAGGAGGATCGAAAATGTCCATTTTATAAAGGTGTATGTTTTATTTGCATTTTTATTAGGTATTTTTTAACTAGAAATTTTTATTTTTTTTTTTTTTTTTAGCAAAAGTTGCATTTTGAAGTTGTAGCCGATATGTCAGTCTATGTACCTGATCCTCATGGTGCTGGTGAATATATGCTGCAACTAAAAGTTGAAGTTAAAGAGCACAATGAAACTTTTTGCACCAATTTGTTTGCGGATTTTTATAGAGCCTAATCCATTTGGAATTGAAAGTAAAAGCAATATAATTAGATTTAAATAAAAATATCTCTCAAATTCGCTTCACCTATAAACTAGTTTGTTTTTATAAAAAAAGTCGAATATGTGGGAGCTATGGCCAATATTGATTTGTATAAATAAGAATTGTATTTTGATATCTTAGTTCATGAACAATTTTCGATTAAGTAATTTTCTGAAGTGGACCTAATATGAGATCTACAGGGAGTTATTACCAATTCAATATTTTCTAGCAAATATTACATCTGTATCTTGTGGCAGACTCATCAATAACTATACCCGATCCAGCAGCTGATGGATCTTATAAGGTAGTAATAAAAATAGAATTAAAAGATCTTAATGAAACTTTCTGCACCAATATGTTTATGGATGCTTATAGAGTTTGATTTGTAAATGAAAGTAAGGGAATAAGTAATTAAATACAAATCGGTTAAAGAAATGTAGTGATTTTTGAATTGGTTTTTATATATTAATGATCATTCTTATAAGTTTTTGTCCCGCCAATATTCTAGACAGTATTTCATTGAGGTTTTTGGAGTCATATTACTTAATTGATCGAATCTTATCACGTTATAACAGATCGTAGTTACATTTATTTATAACATCAGAAAGTCCTATATATTCTTTGAGATATTTAATTTAGAGTTTGAAACAACTATTTATTAGAAAATATTGTTTTCACGATATCTCAGCAAATAAATGGGGTATCAAAACAATTCAAAACTCATTTTTATGGGGATAATTAGAACAAGTTGCGACTTATAAGTTTGTCGTGAAATCAAGTAGAAATGTGACAAATAATCGAATTTAATTGTAGCCAATAAGTGGGGCATACAGACGGCATATTTTGCGCTTTTATAATATTGCGTTTTTTTATCCTGATTTATCTCGAAAAACCTGATGTGATGGCTTTCAGATTCGGTATCAATTAAGCTCAATCCTTTAGAAAAGTAATCCCAAATTTTGTACACAAATTGTTAAGATATGAGTAAATTTCCCAAAAACCCATAGATCTTTTCCCCACACAGTATGGATATCAAAGGAAAGGTCTATGAAAAATAATTATATTTAGAACCGTATATTTCGAAATTCATCATATAAATATGATTTCTCTCTCTCTCTCTCTGACATGATTTCGAGCTTCGCTGATGAATGTATTTCGAACTAATTGACAAACTTAAGCCGTTCCGTTAAATATTGTATAATCTTTCTAATAGATTTTGAAAATGTTCCTCAAAAAAATTTCTGATCAAGATTACATTTCTATAAACTATGGATCAGTTTATGCTAAAGGTTATCTTGAATTTATAAGAGATCTTGGAGAATGTGAGATATATATTTTATTTATATTTAATAATATTTTCTAATATTTATAAACCAACATATATTTAGAATCCTGCCACAATTCAAGCATTTAAAAAACAACGCGGCACTTGGGTCAATACTATATACAATATAGATCCGTGTAAGCATATCTTAAATCGCATATCTTTAAAAAATATGCGAAAAATGGACTTAAAGTGACTGCACTAGGGGTTTTTTTTAATCTATTAGAAGTATCTAATTTAAATAATAATACAGAGACTTTCTAAATTTATCGAAATTTAACTAGTTTAAATAAAGTTTTTTCAAGCAATTCCAAAATTTTAATGAAAAACCACTTTAATTTTGTAATAAGTTCGAAAATTTAGAATAAAAAGAGGAGGTTCCAACTTCCGATACCACAATTTTATCTTTGAATTTAGAATAAAACTAACTGTTGAATAACATTTGATAGTCTTTTAAAGATTCGCTAAATAAAGTATACCAGGGATGGTAAATACAGTAGTATTACAATTTAACGTTTTGACATCACAATATTCCACAATATTCATTATGCTAAGAGTAGTATAGTAGACAATTTAATAGACTATACACTAGACTAGTTAAACTGTACCACAGTTAAGTACATATACTAGTCCATACACTAGTTCATAGAATAGTCTATAGACTAGTCCATAGGATAGTCAATAGACTAGTTCATAGAATACGAAGTCTGTAGACTAGTCCATAGACTAGTCTGTACACTAGTTAATATACTAGTCCATAGACTAGTCCGTAGAGCATAGAATAGTCAATAGACTAGTACGGGACTAGTACGATCCGCTACTGAAAATTTATCTTGTATGAGAGGCACATTCTATGTATTAAATATTCTTTGCTAGTATATAAGTAGAATAGTCACAGACTAAGCCATGGAGTAGACTATAGACTAGTCAATAGAATAGTCCACCGACTAGCCTATAGAATAGTCCACAGACTAGTCCATAGAATAGTTCACAGACTGGTCCATAGACTAGTCAAATATAATGACTACTCGTCCATATAATATTGAATATTCAAAAGACAAGTCCAAAGGCTAGTCCATATACTTGTCTACCTTCTAGTTCATAGACTAGTCTATAGTCAAGTCCACAACCTAGTCTATATATTGGTTAACAAACTAGTCAATAGACTAAACTACAGTCAAGTACATACATATGTTTGTTCACTGTCTAGTCTAAATCAAAAAACCGAAAAGTAATTTAGTACTTTTAATCCTAAGAAAGTACTATTTTTTCCATGACCGATAGATAATGCCTTCCTTTTAATGGTCTGAAGAGTAAACAACTTTTAAAAAGTTATACAATGTTGATTTTTTAACATGATTCTTAATAATTCTTTTATTCTTAATAATAATAACAGTTATTAGTTAACAGAATGTCAATTACTTTGTAAAATTTACAATTTATAATTATTATTTACAACTAAACATTTAATATTGTTAACATTGTAAAACTACAATTGTAAATAAATTGTAATGAAATCCACAAACAAATTAACAATTTCTTGTAGCTTGAAATATATATAAAATCAAGCATTTTATAAACATTCCAAAAGTATTTGTTTTCAAAATGATTTTGAAAGTAATTTTAAATTCTGTGGTGATTTTTCAATTTGTGGTATTAATAGTGAGTTAAAAATAAAATAAAAGTAATAGTTTTTAATTATTATCTTTGCAGGTCAGCATTAAATATGATATTGTTCCCAGAAACGAACAAATATTTACACCTTGCGAAAATCCCGATTTTCATTTTCACGATGATTATATTGACCTTTCCAATATGAAATTTGAAACCTTAGCGAATAACTCTATATATGTTAAAGGTGATCTTATATTTATACGAGATCTTGGGATATCAAATGTGGGAAAGTTATTAAGGTTTATTAAAATGTTTTTTTAATTTTTCTAAATTTCTCTAACTGTTTTATTTAGAATCCTGCCACCCTGCGATCGTTTAAAAAGCAACGCAATAATTGGGTCAGTACCATTTATAATCTAGAACGGGAGGATGCTTGTACGTATATATTTCAACCTAATGAAATTTGGTCTAGTGTTCTGGATAGTGTACCGCTAGAATATCGCAAATGTCCTTTTTTTAAAGGGGTAAATTTGATTTGATTTTTATTTAATCTAAAAGTTGTATTTGTTGATTAATTGTTTTTAGCAAAAAATCCATTTTGATGTTGTAACAGACTTGTCATTACATATACCTAATCCACAAGTAGCCGGTGAATATAAGATACAAATACATGTGGAAGCAACAGAACTTAATGAAACTTTCTGCACCAATATATTTATGGAAGTATATAGAGCTTGATTTTATTATTGTAAATAAAATTTTGTGGAAAATGAAGAGGAAAATGCTTATTTTAGAAGTTAAGAATAATTATAACACAAATCTAGACTACAGTCCAGAATATAGACCGTAGTCCAGACAATATATATCGATTATAATTCTGACTGTAGTTCAGACTATAGACTATAATTCGGACTATAGTCCAGACTATAGACTATAGTCCAGACTATAGTCCAAACTAAAGACAATAGTCTAGACTATAGACTATAGCCTAAACTATGGACAATAATTCAGAATAATGTTCAGACTATAGTCCATACTATGGACTACAGACTATAGTCCAGACTACAGATTATAGTCCATGCTATACATTATAGTCCAGACTATAGTCCAAACTAAAGTCCAGACTGTAGACTAAACTATGGGCAATAATTCAGAATAAAGTTTAGACTATAGTCCATACTATGGACTACAGACTATAGTCCATACTATGTACTACAGACTATAGTCCAGACTACAGATTATAATCCAGGTTATAGATTATAGTCCAGACTACAGATTATAGTTCAGACTACAGATTGTAGCCCACACTAGAGACAATAGTCCAGATTATAGCCTAAACTATAGACAATAATTCAGACTATAGTCCTGACTACACACTATAGTCCAGACTACACACTATAGTCCAGACTATAGATTATAGTCCAGACTATGGTCCAGACTGTATACTATAGTCCAAACTATGGACTATGGTCCAGACTAGAGATAATAGTCCAGACTATAGCCTATAGCTTAAACTATGGACAATAATTCAGACTAATGTTTAGACTATAGTCCATACTATGGACTACAGACTATAGTCCAGACTACAGATTATAGTCCATGTTATAGATTATAGTCCAGACTATAGTCCAAACTAAAGACAATAGTCCAGACTATAGACTATAGCCTAAACTATGGGCAATAATTCAGAATAATGTTCAGACTATAGTCGATACTATGGACTACAGACTATAGTCCAGACTACAGATTATAGTCCAGGTTATAGATTATAGTTCAGACTACAGATTGTTGCCCACACTGGAGACAATAGTCCAGACTATAGCCTAAACTATGGGCAATAAGTCAGACTATAGTCCTGACTACACACTATAATCCAGACTATAGACTATATTCCAGACTATAGATTATAGTCCAGACTGTATACTATAGTCCAAACTATGGACTATGGTCCAGACTAGAGATAATAGTCCAGACTATAGCCTATAGCTTAAACTATAGACAATAATTCAGACTATAGTCCATACTATGGACTAGAGACTATAGTCCAAACAAGAGACAATAGTCCAGACTGTAGGCAATAGTCCAGACTATGGATGATTATCCAAACTATAGATTAAAATCTAGACCAACAATTTGTGGAGAATTTCAGCCCTTAGATCTTTCCGTTTTCTTTCGTGCTCTCCACAGAGTGATATGACTAGATTGTCTTAGAATCTAATAAGGATCCAGAATATATAAGCTTTTATGGGTTTAAGACCAATAATTCGATGTGTTATATACCGAATGACAAAGTCAAAATTATATTCTTTTGATGGTGGGTATTTATTTTTTGAACTGTTTTGTTCTTAAAATGTAAATGAAAAAAAAAAAAAAAAATCGGAAAAATTATGAAAAAGAAAACGTTGAATATAAAGAAAATCTGAAGAACTCTAATAGATTAGTAAGTTTTTAGAGGTTAAGGAAACTTTAACAAGTTTTGTTAGTAAAAAGTTCGTTAAGTTTTTAAATCGAAAATTGAGTTTCGAATTACTGTTAATTTGGGTTAGTAAGCCATGTCTTTGTTAATCGTTTATGTACGATGCTGTCAGACTTACCCCGCAACGGTGGCATAACCAGCCAAAGCTGGCTGAGCTGCTGCAGCAGCAGCAGCACCATAAGCTGCTCTAGCTGCCACAGCAGTATATGTAGTTGCAGCAGTAGCATAAGCTTGTTGAGCCTGAGACAAGGGTGTCTTTAACAGAGGACCAGTAGCCTGTAAAATTCGTCGCAAAAAGTAAAGAGAGAAAAAAAAAAAGCAAAAATTAACAAACTTGCAATTCAAATGGCTGCTGGAAAACAACCAAAAGAAAGTTAAATAAACAGAATACGTTTTGTTTTTAGAAAGGTGAGATTTTACAAATAATTTTTTTGCATTATTTTTGAAATATTAGTGTGTGATTTAATCAAACAGTTCATATAAACAAATTTATAAAACATTTTGTATGAACTGACACCTGTCAATTACACAAACATTCTTAAATAAAATGAAACACATTTTCATCTTAAAAGATTTCAGATAATATAAAAAGAGAACATTACACATATGTATGTAACTCTGACAATGACAGTTAAATAAATCCACACTTCATATTCAAAACTGAGGGGGGTGCATTAAACTAGTTTAGATAAATTTTTCCAAAAAAGAAAATTAAATTTTGCTTCAAACAAACAAATCAATCAATCAATATAGACAGACAATACATACATTAACAGTTAAATTTTAGGTGCTTTGTTTAAATATTTTAATAAAATAGTTAAATAATTTCAAAATAATGCGTTTTTTTTTTTAAACATATACTTTTAAATAGAAATTGTAACCAAAACCGTTTTAATTGTTTTAACAGGTTTTTACTTAAGAAATGAAAACAATTTACCAGAAATGAAATAAAATACATGCTAAAATATTTTCAAAATTATTTGAGTTTTTGTTTGCTTTAGATTTCAGTTATTTTTAAACTGAAATTTAATTAAAATACATAATTAATAGTAATTTAATATTATTAAATTAAAGTAAACTAAAATTCCAACACACAGCAACACCTGTAAAATATTTAAGTTTTTAAAAAGAAATCATACAACACATGCTTAATAGAAAACAATTTTAGTAGTTTTTGTTTTAAAAAGCTTAAAAGTAAATCCTTTAAAGGGTGTATGAAAAACAAAAATTATATTACAATAACATTAAGCTATAACAACAACGAAAATAACAGCAACAATTTTAACAATTAGTCTAACACTAAATGATAAAAGTGGTAAAATAACATAAATTCATGTAGATTTCTTTAATTTTTTACCAAAACATTCTGTGGTACCGGTATGCGGTTGATCGTATGTGGGTTACTGTTTAGCGTTGTCACAGTGCGGCGCTGTAAGTTTTTAAGTAAATTTCGTTTCTTATTTTTGGGTATTTTCTATTTCGTTTTTTTTTTTTTTTTATTTTTTTTTTTATAATCAAATAAATGTTAAGTATATTTGTGAAATAAATTTTGGTGTTATTATGAGTATAATGAAGTGTAATGAACATAACTATAAAAAAATTAAGGCTCTAAATGTGTTAATTAACAAACAGAACAAATAATTAAACAAAAATTACAAATCATAGTTTTTGTCTGCAAAAAGCCCTATAGTGTTTTTTAAGAACTTTATGCAAAATTTTAGGATTAAAAAAAGTTTTAAAAAATGGCACATAAGCCCTTTTGCAGACAAGATAATGGACTGTGAAATAAAATTCTGTTAGTCTAGTGAGACAATTAGTGTTATAAATTTTGAAATTTTAAATGAGAAAAAATTATGATTTTAATAAAATTACATAATAAACTATGTTAAGACTTTATTGACCTAACTCGACTTTTCCTGTGTGATAAACTGTGGCTTTAAGTAACTTATCCATTATTCAGACGGAATAGACATTAACGATCTGTTAATAGATCCTTCAATTTTCCTCCATTCTGAATTCTGCATACTTTTTCTAATATCGTATAAAAGATAGAACTGTTAGACATCCATAATTGTTAATCCGATCAAAGTCCAGACTCTTGTCCAAATTATTGACTATAGTCCAGACTGTAGACTATAGTCCAGACTGTAGACTATAGTCCAGACTGTAGACTATAGTCCAGACTGTAGACTATAGTCCAGACTGTAGACTATAGTCCAGACTGTAGACTATAGTCCAGGCTATGGTCCAGACTATAGTCCAGGCTATAGTCCAGACTATAGACTATAGTTCATACTACAGACTATAGTTCAGACTATAGACTATAGTTCAGACTATAGTCCAGACTATAGACTATAGTCCACACTATAGTCTATAGTCCAGGCTATGGTTCAGACTATAGTCTATAGTCCAGACTATAGACTATAGTCCATACTACAGACTATAGTTCAAACTATAGACTATAGTCCAGACTATAGACTGTAGTCCAGACTATATCCTATAGTCCAGACTATAGATTGTAGTTCAATCTATAGATCCAGACTGTTGCCCAAATTATTGACTATAGTCCAGACTGTAGACTATAGTCCAGACTGTAGACTATAGTCCAGACTATAGACTATAGTCCATACTACAGACTATAGTTCAAACTATAGACTATAGTCCAGACTATAGACTGTAGTCCAGACTATATCCTATAGTCCAGACTATAGTCTATAGTCCAGACTATAGTCTATAGTCCAGGCTATAGTGCAGACTATAGACTATAGTCCATACTACAGACTATAGTTCAAACTATAGACTATAGTCCAGACTATAGACTGTAGTCCACACTATATCCTATAGTCCAGACTATAGATTGTAGTCCAATCTATAGATTATAGCCCAGACTACAGTCAATAGACCAGGATGTAGACTATAGTCCAGATTGTAGACTATAGTCCAGACTGTAGACTATAGTCCAGACTGTAGACTATAGTCCAGACTATGGCCTATAGTCCAGACTGTAGACTATTGTCCAGACTATAGACTATAGTCCAGACTATAGACTATTGTACAGGCTAGAAGCTATCGTTCAGACTATAAGCTATAGTCCAGACTATAGACTACAGTCCAGGCTACAGACAAGAGACCAGACTACAGACTATACTCCTGACCATATACTATAGTTCAGACTATAAACTACAGTCCGGACTATAAACTACAGTCATGACTCTAAACTATATTCCAGACTACAGAATATAGCCCAAACTACAGACTATACCCCAGACTATGGACAATAGTCCAGACTAAAGTCTACTTATTGCATCCTAAAGTCTACTTATTGCATTGCATCAAAACCTGTTTCTTATCTTTCAAAATTCAATATTTACAAAAGCACTCTATCTATGTGTTTTTAAGCTAATCGCTACACATTTCCTCTCAATGCACACTCTATTAAAAACAAATTAATATTAAAATATTTCGCTCTACTATAAAAATACATAAAATTTTCTATTCATTTTCGCATTTCTTTAACTCAAGAAGGGTCACTTAATATTCATTACAGTCTTTCTAACGAAAGGGCAAACAATTTCAAGTTTTTCCTTTGACATGAAATTACAAAAATATAGTGAAGAAAGTGGCGGAAAAGTCAAATAAGTAAAACTGCCATCATCATATTTGCATGAAACAAATTGTTTAAAAAAATATTTTAAAGAAATAAAAAAAAATACCGTGAAGTAAAATGTTGTTAAATAAAAAAAAAACGATGTATGGATGGCTGACTAAGTGAAAGATGAAAAAATAAAGTTACAAAAAATAAAGAAAAACAGCATCATGCTTTTAAATGAAATTCGTTACAATACTAAGGAAAATAAAAAAATGCTATATTTTGTACAGAAACCAAAAAGTATTTTTCCTGTACAAGTATTTTTTTCCAAATACTAAAAAAAAAAAAAATTAAATTTAACAGAATTTGTGTAGATGGCATGAAGGAATAAAAATGCGTATGAATGACAGAAAAAACTAAATATATTTTTTTGTTGAAGAAATGCACAATCAAATGGATTTTTTTTTATGTGGTGGTGGTATATATTTTAAAGTGGTACAATTAACACTATATAAACTAGAGAGGAGAGTTTTTTTTCAATTGTAGGGGCTTGTGGTAAAAATTGTAATTTTTAAGAATCAAAATTGAATCAAAAATTAAGTTCGTTCTTCGCAGATGAACCTAAAGCTAATCTGCATATTCTTATTCACGAACTCTCTATCAACCCAATCAACAACTCCAGAACAATTAACCGTTTAGTGTAGTTTACACGATTGATGAATCATGGGACCTTAGTTCTAGTTCCAGTTCAGTTCTAGTTCAGTTCTAGTTCAGTTCTAGTTCAGTTCTAGTTCAATTTTAGTTCAGTTCTAGTTCAGTTCTAGTTCCAGTTCAGTTCTAGTTCAGTTCTAGTTCAGTTCTAGTTCAGTTCTAGTTCAGTTCTAGTTCAGTTCTAGTTCAGTTCTAGTTCAATTCTAGTTCAATTCTAGTTCAATTCTAGTTCAATTCTAGTTCAGTTCTAGTTTAGTTCAGTTCTAGTTTAGTTCAGTTCTAGTTCAGTTCTAGTTCAGTTCTAGTTCAGTTCTAGTTCAGTTCTAGTTCAGTTCTAGTTCAGTTCTAGTTCAGTTCTAGTTCAGTTCTAGTTCAGTTCTAGTTCAGTTCTAGTTCAGTTCTAGTTCAGTTCTAGTTCAGTTCTAGTTCAGTTCTAGTTCAGTTCTAGTTCAGTTCTAGTTCAGTTCTAGTTCAGTTCTAGTTCAGTTCTAGTTCAGTTCTAGTTCATTCTAGTTCAGTTCTAGTTCAGTTCTAGTTCAGTTCTAGTTCAGTTCTAGTTCAGTTCTAGTTCAGTTCTAGTTCAGTTCTAGTTCAGTTCTAGTTCAGTTCTAGTTCAGTTCTAGTTCAGTTCTAGTTCAGTTCTAGTTCAGTTCTAGTTCAGTTCTAGTTCAGTTCTAGTTCAGTTCTAGTTCAGTTCTAGTTCAGTTCTAGTTCAGTTCTAGTTCAGTTCTAGTTCAGTTCTAGTTCAGTTCTAGTTCAGTTCTAGTTCTAGTTCAGTTCTAGTTCAGTTCTAGTTCAGTTCTAGTTCAGTTCTAGTTCAGTTCTAGTTCAGTTCTAGTTCAGTTCTAGTTCAGTTCTAGTTCAGTTTAGTGTCAGTTCTAGTTCAGTTCTAGTTCAGTTCTAGTTAGTTCAGTTCTAGTTCAGTTCTAGTTCAGTTCTAGTTCAGTTCTAGTTCAGTTCTAGTTCAGTTTCTAGTTCAGTTTCTAGTTCAGTTCTAGTTCAGTTCTAGTTCAGTTCTAGTTCAGTTCTAGTTCAGTTCTAGTTCAGTTCTAGTTCAGTCTAGTTCAGTTCTAGTTCAGTTCTAGTTCAGTTTCTAGTTCAGTTCTAGTTCAGTTCTAGTTCAGTTCTAGTTCTAGTTCTAGTTCAGTTTCTAGTTCAGTTTCTAGTTCAGTTCTAGTTCAGTTCTAGTTCAGTTCTAGTTCAGTTCTAGTTCAGTTCTAGTTCAGTTCTAGTTCAGTTCTAGTTCAGTTCTAGTTCAGTTCTAGTTCAGTTTCTAGTCAGTCTAGTTCAGTTCTAGTTCAGTTCTAGTTCAGTTCTAGTTCAGTTCTAGTTCAGTAGTTCAGTTCTAGTTCAGTTCTAGTTCAGTTCTAGTTCAGTTCTAGTTCAGTTCTAGTTCAGTTCTAGTTCAGTTCTAGTTCAGTTCTAGTTCAGTTCTAGTTCAGTTCTAGTTCAGTTCTAGTTCAGTTCTAGTTCAGTTCTAGTTCAGTTCTAGCTTCAGTTCTAGTTCAGTTCTAGTTCAGTTCTAGTTCGTTCTAGTTCAGTTCTAGTTCAGTTCTAGTTCAGTTCTAGTTCAGTTCTAGTCAGTATTCAGTTCTAGTTCAGTTCTAGTTCAGTTCTAGTTCAGTTCTAGTCCGTTCTAGTTCAGTTCTAGTTTACTTCAGTTCTAGTTCAGTTCTAGTCAGTTCTAGTCAGTTCAGTTCTAGTTCAGTCTAGTTCAGTTCTAGTTAGTTCAGTTCTAGTTCAGTTCTAGGTTCAGTTCTAGTTCAGTTCTAGTTCAGTTCTAGTTCAGTTCTAGTTCAGTTCTAGTTCAGTCTAGTTCAGTTCTAGTTCAGTTCTAGTTCATTCTAGTCTAGTTCTAGTTCAGTTCAGTCAGTTCTAATTCAATTCTAATTCAGTTCTAGTTCAGCTCTAGTTCAGTTCTTGTTCTCTCATTTGCTTAGGAGTCTTTTTGGTTAGTTGCAATATTGAGTGTTTCAGATTAATAAAACTTATTATGCAATTTTTTTCAGCGGTGTAATTGTTATTCATGTAAATTCCAAAACCAAATAAAAATAAACCACTTTAGCACCTACAAAATAAATATAAATTTTGTGCGAGTTAAAAAAAATATTTCAATTTATATAGTGTTAAATGTACAAATATTTTCTATGAACGTGTTCACACAGTGTGAGAGTATTTAAATGAGATATGTTTTATTAACAATATACAAAATACATATTGTTATTAACAATATTTAAATATAAGCCAGAATGAAAATAAAAGTTAGAAATATACAAACTAAAATCGATTGAGGCATAATTATCGTTTTATATTATTTTTATAGTTAGAACTAATAAGATAACAACAAATATTGTAGAAAGTTTAGTTCATTTAAAAAAATATTTAATTAAAAATCAATTAAATAAATGTTCGTTTTCGACACTAAGAGTACAAAAGAGCGCGATAGTAAAAGAGAAAGAAGAACAATTATACTCAAACCAAAAAAAAAAAATATATAAAAATCAGGGCAACCAGGGAAAACAATATACATAAAAAAAGAAAAATATATAGTATATTACTAACAAAAACTAGATTTTATACAAGACTTTCAAACGAAAAGAAAATTATGTTAAACAAGAAAAACAAAAGAAAACGAAATTAATCAAAAGAAGAAAATGAAGCATACTCAAGGGGACCAAAGAGGTGAATAAGAAATTAATAAAAATAGTTACAAACAAACAGTAATAAAAATGATAGATGGTAAATAAATATTTAGTTAAATAATTTTTTTTTATATATAATAAAATTATTATTGTTTATAAATTTTATATTAAAATATAAAACAATGATTACATTTATAATTGCGGCTGGCTGTGCTGCTGGAACTTCTGTGACCGGTTTCGCTGCCTGTAAAATTTTATTTTTAGTTTTTTTTCTTATTTATTTTTAATTATTTATTTAATAAACTTAATTTTATTTGCTTAAAACTAATTATATTTTAAATTTTATCATAAATCTAGCCCTTTTCAACTAATTTAAAGAAAAAACATTTGGCTTTTTTTGAAACTAAAAACATATAGAAAATACAAAAATTATCTGTGTCTTACCTGAAAACGTAAATTGGGATCAGCTTGAGCTGCAGCGGCTGCTAAGTAGGGATCAAAGTAAACACTGTGAAAAAGTTCAAGAGAGAGAAAAAGAGAAAATTGTTTTTTGTTGGTTTTACTCATCATAAACTTCTCAACTTAATACGTTATAGTTTTTGTAGACACAAAAAAAGTCTAAAATGATCTGAGTTCTTAAAAGCAAAATTCATTTCAAATTCCGTTTATTTTGGAGATTAACGTTTTTTTTTTTAATTCAATATTTCGCATTTTTTATGTTTAGCTGTTTTAGGAATTTCTTAAATTAAAATCTTAAAACGTAATTTTTTCTCGATCATACATTCATACATTATTATCACACACATTCATACTCATTTAAAAAGAGATTAGCTAGCTGATCACTGCTTCTTAATTTACTAAACTTGACAATATTGTATTTATTGGTCTCATTATAATAATAAACTTAATAGAGATGATATAATCTGAGAGAAAGAGAGCTGTTGGAAATAAAGCTAACGTTCCAACTGATCTTGCTTGTGTTTATGTCATAATTTGGAATATGCTAGGATCTTGTATAATTGGTAATTGAGAGTGATAAATCTGTTTATAATGAAAGAGATTTGATAGGACCAGTATAAGGTATAATTCTCTGTTAATGCAAATTGATCAAGTTTAATGATCATATTTGAAAAATCTACATTTTCAAGCAACATGAAAGATGCTGATTCGAAGTATTTGTGTTTCAAGTGAGTGTAGTTAAACGGGCATCCAGGGAAATTTAATTTCTGAAGAATTTCTAATTACCAAAATAGGTGAGTTATGAGAACGATCGCATCATTGTCAACCGTAGAATTCTCTGTCATTTTGCCTTTGATAAAAACTTGGTTACCTTACACCACCTATGTCTTCTACAACTGGGATAAGACAAGATTCTATCATGATCTGAACAATTTCAGATATTCATTAATATCGAATCATATTAAAAGTTTTCGGATTATGGAGGAAAGTTTATCAAGAAGTTTTTCATAAACAAGATGAATATCAATATTATAAAGATAATGTAATAAATTAAAACTGCTCTCATAGATTAGTAATTCGTCGGAGAAAGGAGAGGCGTTTGTGAACCATGTAGCACAAAAGGTTTCTCGTCGATTGCTGAAGGATATTTGAATATCTAGTTCCATTAAGTTGCATTAGAACAAGATCTGTTGAAAGCAGTCGCAATTCAGACCCGAATTAACGGCGGTCCACAGATTTGCGTCTCACACTGGCATCATTATTACTCCATATTACGTTTTGACTGTTAGAGGCTGTAAAATACTTGCATTATACCCTGGTAAAGACAATGTAAACTCATTGAAACTCTAGAACTTCTAACTGGTGGAATTCCATTAAAAACTCAGGTTCTTATATGAAGATATGGGGCGTCCAGAAGATTTTCTTCGAACCATCGTATAACACACTGGTGTTTCGGTTATGTGACTCAAACATTATTCTAAAATAAAAATAATTTTGTTGAAGGCAAATTTCGTAAATCTGGAAATTAAAACTATGATCAATTGACATCGATATATGTAGAAGAGTAGTGGAATATTGGGTCTAAGGAATTGTTCACTGGTTTCGCGCTTGTTGTATTCAATATGAAAAGATGGAGTCTGACATCTTAATTTAATATAATTTTTTCTTCAGTCTTGCTTTTCGCATAGGGAACTGAACTAGAACTTAACTAGAACTGAACTAGAACTGAACCAGAACTGAAGTAGAACTGAACTAGAACTGAACTAGAACTGAACTAGAACTGAACTAGAACTGAACTAGAACTGAACTAGAACTGAACTAGAACTGAACTAGAACTGAACTAGAACTGAACTAGAACTGAACTAGAACTGAACTAGAACTGAACTAGAACTGAACTAGAACTGAACTAGAACTGAACTAGAACTGAACTAGAACTGAACTAGAACTGAACTAGAACTGAACTAGAACTGAACTAGAACTGAACTAGAACTGAACTAGAACTGAACTAGAACTGAACTAGAACTGAACTAGAACTGAACTAGAACTGAACTAGAACTGAACTAGAACTGAACTAGAACTGAACTAGAACTGAACTAGAACTGAACTAGAACTGAACTAGAACTGAACTAGAACTGAACTAGAACTGAACTAGAACTGAACTAGAACTGAACTAGAACTGAACTAGAACTGAACTAGAACTGAACTAGAACTGAACTAGAACTGAACTAGAACTGAACTAGAACTGAACTAGAACTGAACTAGAACTGAACTAGAACAGAACTGAACTAGAACTGAACTAGAACTGAACTAGACTGAACTAGAACTGAACTAGAACTGAACTAGAACTGAACTAGAACTGAACTAGAACTGAACTAGAACTGAACTAGAACTGAACTAGAACTGAACTAGAACTGAACTAGAACTGAACTAGAACTGAACTAGAACTGAACTAGAACTGAACTAGAACTGAACTAGAACTGAACTAGAACTGAACTAGAACTGAACTAGAACTGAACTAGAACTGAACTAGAACTGAACTAGAACTGAACTAGAACTGAACTAGAACTGAACTAGAACTGAACTAGAACTGAACTAGAACTGAACTAGAACTGAACTAGAACTGAACTAGAACTGAACTGACTGAACTAGAACTGAACTAGAACTGAACTAGAACTGAACTAGACTACTGAACTAGAACTGAACTAGAACTGAACTAGATCTGAACTAGAACTGAACTAGAACTGAACTAGAACTGAACTAGAACTGAACTAGAACTGAACTAGAACTTAACTAGAACTTAACTAGAACTGAACTAGAACTGAATTAGAATTGAACTAGAACTGAACTAGAACTGAACTAGAACTGACCTAGAACTGAACTAGAACTGAACTAGAACTGAACTAGAACTGAACTAGAACTGAACTTGAACTAGAACTATAACCAATTACATATGTCTCTGGTTTCATATTCGAGATCTTAACAAACTTTATTTCCAACAGCTTCTCTCACTCTCCCTGAAAATCCTATAACTCTTAATATCTAACTCAAGATCGATAAGTATGTAAAACTCTGTTCTATTCTCATCCATCGAATAATAAAAAAGATCATTAAAAATTATAACTTAAAATATTAAAAACATTCTAAAAGTATAAAATAAATGCAACTAGAGCGAAGCTGCATGAGACATGAGAGCATAATTTATAGAAAATCGAATACGAGGCCTTTGTAATAACTCACTGATTTTCTTTGGGCGTAAACTAGTGAATTAGCATTAAAAACTTAATTGACAGGTGTTTTAAAAGAGATTAAAGGCTTTAAAATCAATTAAAATATATAAAAAATAATTTATATAACTGAGAGAAAAAAAGAAAACCTTAAAACCGCAATAAATTAAAAAAATAGAAATAAATATAAACAAAAATTTACAAAAACAAAAATAGTAGAGTATAAAACTAAAAATTTCAAAACAAAATGTTTGTTGTTTATAAACATACACTGACATGCGCCTAAAAGTATGCAAAAATATTTATTCAAAATAGAAAACAAAAACCAAAAATAAATAAAAATTTTGCTGTTCCAAAAAAAATTTAAAATTTTTTATAATTTTTATACACAAACAAGAAGGCCATCATCAGCATTCATATTTAGTTTTTAAGAAAATTCTCTTGTATTTTTTTTGTTCTTTTATAAATTATATTCTATTTTTAGGTGTTTTCTTATTTTAAATCATAGAAAGAGCGAGAAAATTTTAACATGCATACGGTGGGTCCCCAAGAAAAATAAATTGAAAATTTTTACACACACACAAAGTAACTTGTCGTTTCTGTTGCCAATAATTAATGTAAAAGAGAAAAATTATAAAAAAAATTAACAATATTACAGCTATTTACAAAAACAATATTATTTTGTCATTATCATTATCAATCAATCAGTATAAATTTTGTTTAAATATGTAGATATGTTTGTACGATATGTTGTATTATTTATTAATAGTTTAAGCCTAAAAAGATGCTTTAGTACAAATGTAGATAATAATTGTATGGTTGGTAACTAAGCTAAACAAATTATTGTTGTTTATATTGAGATATAATCGAAATTATTATAGTTTTTTTTTTTTTTAATTATAAGGGTGTTAAAAGTTTATTTTTTTAAAAAAGGGGAGCGGTGAGCTTTAGTGACTTTATATTTTATGTAACAATACGTAGTTCTAGAACCCCTTTTTTTATAAAATTCAAAAATTCGTTTACCAAACATGCTTTCTGATAGAAAAAACACACATACACACAAAAACCTTTGTAAAATTATTAATTTTTTTATATATATATATATATGATCGCTTTCAATAACCAAACTATATTTACTGGTAATTTTTTCAAATTATTATTTTTTTATAACAAAAAGCTATTATTAAATTTTTTTTAAATGCAGTAATATTTGAGAGAAAAAAATTAATGGTTATTTTGTTTTTAGCATTGAAAATGTGCTAAATATTAAATTACATTGAAAAAAAGAACCCAAAAACATTTCTTTTTAAAGACTACAAAACAAATAAATATTAGTAAAGCAAACTACAAACTAAAAAAAAATTAAAAATGTTAGTAGAGAGAGAAAATGTAAAGTTTTTGTTTTTTTGGCGGGAGGCATTTTTTTATTATTTAATATAAAAAGGATGAAATTTATTTTAATTCATAAACAACTGTTTGATCTTAGACTTGAACCACTCTTTTTATATCACTGATCTTAATTTAGCCTAGACTCAAGCCTTAAACTCTTAACCCTATTTTTCGTATCAGAGACTTGTCATTACGATTTTACATATTTTTTCTAAGCATTTATACGAATGGAGCTTCGGTGGTAACCGAGGACTAGAAGATTTGATCTTCATAAGAATAAAATCGTGATACTCATGTGCAAGACTAGACTATAGGCTAGACTATAGAGCAGACTATAGACTAAACTACAGCCTAGCCTAAACTATAGACTTAACTATAGACTAAACTATAGACTAAATTATAGACTAAACTATAGACTAGACTATACTCTATACTATACTCTATACTATAGACTAGACTTTAGACTATAGTATAGACTAGACTATATACTATATTATAGACTTTATTATAGACTAGAATATAGACTAGACTATAGACTAGACTAGACTAAAGACTACACTATAGACTAGACTATAGACTAGACTATAGACTAGACTATAGACTAGACTATAGACTAGACTATAGACTAGACTATAGACTAGACTATAGACTAGACTATAGACTAGACTATAGACTAGACTATAGACTAGACTATAGACTAGACTATAGACTAGACTATAGACTAGACTATAGACTAGACTATAGACTAGACTATAGACTAGACTATAGACTAGACTATAGACTAGACTATAGACTAGACTATAGACTAGACTATAGACTAGACTATAGACTAGACTATAGACTAGACTATAGACTAGACTATAGACTAGACTATAGACTAGACTATAGACTAGACTAGACTATAGACTAGACTAGACAGACTATAGACTAGACTATAGACTAGACTATAGACTAGACTATAGACTAGACTATAGACTACACTATAGACTAGACTATAGACTAGACTAGACTATAGACTACACTATAGACTAGACTATAGACTAGACTATAGACTAGACTATAGACTAGACTATAGACTAGACTATAGACTAGACTATAGACTAGACTAGACTATAGACTAGACTATAGACTAGACTATAGTCTAGACTATAGACTAGACTATAGACTAGACTATAGACTAGACTAGACTATATACTAGATTATAGACTAGACTATAGACTAGATTATAGACTAGACTATAGACTAGATTATAGACTAGACTATAGACTAGATTATAGACTAGACTATAGACTAGACTATAGACTAGACTATAGACTAGACTATAGACTAGACTATAGACTAGACTATAGACTAGACTATAGACTAGACTATAGACTAGACTATAGACTAGACCATAGACTAGACTATAGACTAGACTATAGACTAGACTATAGACTAGACTATAGACTAGACTATAGACTAGACTATAGACTAGACTATAGACTACACTAGACTATAGACTAGACTATAGACTAGACTATAGATTAGACTATAGACTATACTATAGACTAGACTATAGACTAGACTATAGACTAGACTATAGACTAGACTATAGACTAGACTATAGACTAGACTATAGACTAGACTATAGACTAGACTATAGACTAGACTATAGACTAGACTATAGACTAGACTATAGACTAGACTATAGACTAGACTATAGACTAGACTATAGACTAGACTATAGACTAGACTATAGACTAGACTATAGACTAGACTATAGACTAGACTATAGACTAGACTATAGACTAGACTATAGACTAGACTATAGACTAGACTATAGACTAGACTATAGACTAGACTATAGACTAGACTATAGACTAGACTATAGACTAGACTATAGACTAGACTATAGACTAGACTATAGACTAGACTATAGACTAGACTAAACTTACGATATACAGAGATTATGAAAGTCCAAAAAATGTCTTAAAGCGGACATCTCGAGTTTGGTAGTCGAGAAATCGGTCCAATTTCCTACAAATTTTGTGGTATTAAAAGGTTAAAAACCGGACTAGACTATAGACTAGTCTTACGTTATACAGAGATTATTAAAGTCGAAGTTTGGTAGTCGAGAAATCGGTCCGATTTCTAACAAATTTTGTGGTATTAAAAGGCTAAAAACAGGAGAAGACTTGCTCAAGTCTTTCGATCCGATGAAGATCTTGTTATTTTCTATTTCAAGAGATAAGACTGTTGAGATTGGACATTGACTGGTCAGGACTTCTTCAAGCCAATTAGTGCGAAGGATTCTCTGTATAGACAGACTTATAAAAGGAATATCAGAGTAATGAATCTTGTTATGTTCTTAATTAAGTGATAAGACTGTTGAGGTTGGATATTGCTGAAGGCGAAAATCGATTAAGAGGTATTGAAAAACTGAAATAGGAAGTAATGTTGTTAAAGTAGTCGTGTCATACAAATACTAATCAATACGTGATCAAATAACTCGAAAACTTTTGGCAAATTCTCGAATCGTCCAGGGACATGGTGTTATATGCTACACCCGATTAACGGATTTCAAATCTATTTATAAGTGTTATTATAATCAAACTTTTAGTATTATCCTTGAAAGAAGTGATCTATAGTTTAAATATATAGAAATTACGTTCTGAAAACTTTGTATTTTTTCCTAAAAATCTTAAAGTTTTTCCATAGTCTCAGAACTAAAACAGTTGTAAACTTTAAAATGACCTTTACTATATTACAAAATTTCATTACAAACTGTGGTCATTACAGAAAAAAAGTTTAAATTTCATTTCCTATTTCCCTTTCATTCCAACACCAAAAAAGAAAAACTTTACATATTCCTCCATTTTCTTTTGCATGTTTTTTTTTTGTTGTTCATTTAAATGTTTCAAATAGTTTTTCTTTTTTTTTTTAATTTGTTGAATAAATGCAATTACTTACGGTGCATATCCATGCAATGTGGTACCAGCTGCCGCGGCATTAGCAGCTGCTGCATTGGCAGCTGCAGCCATTGAGGCGGCTGTGGGTTGAGCTGGTGGAGCGGTGGAAAGACGTGCTGCATACGCTACGGCAGCAGCCGAAGGAGCTGTCTGTGCTGTGGCCGTTTGAGCGAGGCTTTGTAATTGTTGTTGGGCACTGGGTTGCATGGCGGCGGCTGCAGCAGCATTTGCTGCATTAGCATTAGATTGTGCCTGTAGGGCCTGTTGTAAACCCAAGTGTTGTTGTTGCTGTTGGTGCTGCTGGTGGGCAGCCACGGCGGCGACTGCAGCTGCATGACGTTGTTGCTGTTGTTGAGCGGCTACAGCAGCAGCTAAAGCTGGATTGAAGGGAGCACCAACGACACCGACATGTCCACGTTGTATGGCCACACCGCGCATAGCAGCAGCGGCTACAGCAGCTATTTTAAGTGTTTTCAATTTTATTGTTTATATATTTCCGTTTCCGTTTAACATTGTTGTCGTGGTATTGATGGTGCAGTGTAAGTGTATTTTATGTGTGGGTGAGCGTACACATTTTTTAAATTAGGATTTTTTTTAATCGTTACAACAATAAACAAAGATTTTCATCACAAAATTTCATTCGACAATAATTAAAAAGTTTTTTTTTTTTTTTTAAAACACATTTAGTGGGTTTTATAATTTAATTAATTCATTAATTTAATTGTTTTTGTTGTTTTTATTATGTTGTAGGCCACATTTGAAATGTATGTGTTTGAGGTGTTTTGTTGTTGATTTTTATCAAGTTTTTAAGATTTTTTTTTTTAGGCAAAAACAATGTCATAGATATTTCAAGTATAAAATGGAAAGAAAAGAAAAAAAGAGAACATAAAATGCATGCGGTTAGTTTTATATAGTATATTTCAATTCTTTTTTTTTTTGTATAATATATAAAACTTCTAAAGTAAATATGTTATGTAAATAATAATAATAATAAAAAACTTCTTCCTAGCAACTAGACCTTTTGTTCTGTAAATAATGATTTTTATTTAAAGAAATATTTACATGTATAAAATTTCATAAGTTTTTTTTTTTTTTTGGTTTCAATTTTAGAGAAATACATACATACATACTTAATTAAACACACAGAGAATTCCATAGAAAAACACAATACTTTTGTTAAACAAAAGAAGAACGAAATTAAACATTCTACTAAAAACTATCAATATATAAACCAGCAACATTTTTTCTAAAAAGATATCTTTCTAAAACTTTAATAGGTTAAAAATTTCTTTAAAAAAATCTTGCTGGTTTATTTTGCAAATTTTATTTGAATATAATTTCCTGAAAAAGGATTTTTATTTTGTTATAAATTTCATAAGAAAACATGTAATTTTTTTTTATAAAAACTTTGTAACAAGCACATACATACATATATTTTAAATATTTTCTAAATATTCTTAAAATTTGTATAAAAACTAGAAACATTTATTATAAAAAAGGATGCTATTTTACTTTAGTTTTCTAAATTAATGATTGCTAATTTAAAAAAAAAATACGTATATAAAATAAATTTTTTAAAACTAAAGTTTTTTATATAAAGTTTTATGCAATAAATAAATATAAACATGAAATATTTGCATACTTTTAGGAGTTTTAATATTTTAAATAATGTAGCCTATAGTTAAGGATGATTTTATATTTTCAAAATATCTATAGGTCCAAAATTGTTTAAAATTTTTGATATCTAATGTATCAGATGTATTTTACTAGTTACGGTTGAACTTAGAAGCTGAAGGTACGTACACACCTATCAAATATTTGAGGTAAATTATACACTAGTTTCTCGATGAAATTCTGTATAAATAACTTCAATGTTAAAGAATAGGTCCATATTTATCTTTGCCCCCATATAAGCACTCTTTTAGAAGAACACTTCTTTAGTCAGCAATTTGTTCAAATATTTCGGAATTGAGGTAAAAAATAACTTAAATGTTTTATTATTAAAAATAATCCTCATTTTTACCACAATCACTGATGTAGGGTATCATATGGTTGATCAAAACCGACTATATATTCTTATTTGTTTTTATAATGAATTTTAATTGAATTTTTGGTCTCAAGTCTGGTAAGTTGTAGGGTCAAAGGTCAACTTTTCAAATATTATTATTATATTTTTTTTTATACTAAACTATATTCTTCATGAAATTTTTTAAAAATAAGACCTTTAGTCTTTTCAAGGTTATTTTTTTGAAGTGCTCAAAACACTTCAGGGCCAAAGGTCAAATTTTTGAAACCTAATTATCTGTTTTTATAAAAAGTTGAAGAATTATTATAACCAATTTGTTTATAATTCTTTAATATTTTCATATAATCAAATCTTAACGAAACTTTAGAAAAGACAAATAATCCCTTTGTTTTACATGGGGTCAAAAAAGGACCAATTTCTTTCTATATGAAAACTATAGGTGTTTGAAAGCCTTTTTAAGATACAATTTAAATGAAAATTAAACCGTTTGTGGCCAAAAGCAAAGGTCAAAGGTCAAATTATTATATATTGAGATTTTTTAATAAAATATTGAAGAATTATTATTTATTTATTAACACGATTGAATAAAACTTTGGAGAATTATTACATGAGTTTTTAAAATAAAATTTTACGAAAAATTAACTCTTTGCTTTACTTAAAGTCAAAATAGGGCCAAAGGTCAAATCATTAAATTTTGAGAATTTTTTATATAAAATGTTGCAAAATTATTATTCATTTGTTCTAAAGATTTAATAAATCTTTGGAGAAATGTTACATGAGCTTACTAAATTAAATTTTACGAAAAATTAAGCCTTTGCTTTACATAAAGTCAAAATTAGGTCAAAGGTCAAATTTTGAGTTTTTTTATATAAAATGTTGCAGAATTATTATTCATTTGTTCTGAAGTTTGAACATTTCAAATTTAAATTTTACTAATTTTACTAAGAATTAACTCTTTGCTTTACATAAGGTCAATTCAGGGTCAAAGGTCAAAATGTTAAATATTGAGATTTTTTCATAAAATTTTACAGAATTGTTATTGATTTGCTATCAAGATTGAATAAAACTTCAAAGAAATATTCTTAAAATTATATAAATAAATAAAAATAAATAAATAAATAATGTCTAAATAGGGTCAAACGGTCAAATATTCAGATTTTTCATATAATGTAACAGAATTGTTATTCGTTTGTTCTGAAGATTGAATAAAACTTTGGAGAAATTTTACACGAGTTGTCAAAATTTAATTTTACGAAAAATTAACCTTTTTCTTCGCATAAGGTCAAATTAGGGTCAAAGGTCAAATTAAATATTGAGATTTTTTTTATAATGTTTTGAAGAATTATTATTTATTTCTTATCAAGATTGTATAAAACTTTGGATAAATCTTATATACGTTTTCAAAATTAAATTTTACGATAACATAACCCTTTGCTTTATATGGAATCTAAATAGGCCCAATTTGTTTTGAAAAGACTAAAAACCATTATTATCTTTTAAAATATATATCAAATTAACATTTTTTGAAAGTAAAGAGAAATTGCATTGTATTTTCTTTAGGTATTTGGTAGAAAAAAGGGTTAATTTTCTTATTTTACTTTTCAGTCTCATTTGAAGTTTTATAAAAATTCAGTAATAAGTAATAATGTTTAATAGTTTTATTTTTGACAGCGACCTTAAAAGGGTTAATATTTCTTGAAGTGAAATAGTTGCAAACAAATCATTACAAACAAATAAGAAATGCTTTGAAAAAATGTCATCAATATTGAGGACAGGTCGTGAAAGGGTTAATACCTTTCAATTATACACGCTTTTAATCGATTTCAAAAACCACAACTATTTGAATACCAATTAAAAATATTCAAATTACTAACATTTATATTAATTTTTGCAAAGATTAATGTAAATATAACGATAATTATAATCATTTTTATATTTATATTTAAATATGTTCATACAAAATAACATTTATTTTCCATTAATGACAAAAATAACCATAAATAGTCGTCAACTAACAATAACATACAAATTTATTTAAATGATTTTTAAAATGCTGTTAAATAAAAATTAATTTGTAGTTAAAATGAAAATACTAAAAATTTAAAAAAACAATTCTAACATAAACTATAATAAATGACAAAAATAATATAAAAAATTTTTGCATATCATATGCTGCTCAATACGTTTGTGTGTGTATTTATAATCACATTTAGTTGCAAGTAATTTATTTAGTAAAACTAATTACTATTAAATACATTATTAAATATTGCCCTAAAATAAAACCACAATATAATATTAATATTTAATAAAAAAGCTTAAAAAATTTACTATTGTTTTTTATCTCTATGAGTATTAACTATTTATAATTAATGAAGGAATATATTTTATTGTGATTTTCAGAAAAAAAAAATATGATATATTTTTCTCACAACAAATTGTTATTATATTTGTTGTAATAGTAAATTAAACATATTAAAAACTAATCAGTGATAAAGTAAATGTTTGTCATTGCTATTATTTAAAATGAATAACTAATTATGTAATTAGTTTTTTTTAATAATTATTGTGGTTTAATTTCAATTGAATTTGAAAAATAGAACAAAACGGAAAAAAAACTTTGACAAATTTAAATAAATGAATGTTTTTTTTGTTGTTTTAAGTATAATTTTTAAATTGTAATAAATATGAATTTAAATTTGATTAACGAGCATAAGAAAGAAATTGTTCAAGTTAAAAAATAATTATAAAAATTACACTGTTTTACTTTTGCTTCGGGGATGGTTTTTCAACAATTATTTTTTACTGCTTAAAGTAAAAACTTTTGATTCGCATCAGATCCTTCAAAATTTTTGACCAGTTCCGGAAGGAGTACAGTTTCTAACGAGAACACGTGTAACTTTAACGAAATCGGACTATTTACCTTTCAGAAATATATTTCTCATTTTCCCATTGATTGAGTCCGGTATGAAGTCGAGTGCTTTACGAGAACACCTGCCCTGTTGGAATAATTCACGGTGGTCTTTTTCAACCACTGGTTGAGCTTTTGTGATGACTCACCACTTCCCCATTGTGTTTCTTACGGACGGATGAGATCCGTACAACCCTACATTTATTCTGTATCATATACAACTCATTTCCAAGGCTTAGTCCCCAGTCACTCCTCTTAGGAGTATCTGTTGTCAGCACCGAACTTATCCCGAAATATAGATTCACCGTGCATCTGTCTTTTAACCGAATCTTACTCTTCCCGCGAATCTTGGTTAAAACCACAGTCACTATGTGAATCCCGAAGGAACCTCAACCAACTGACCAGTCAAGACAAGTCTTGGGGGCAATTGACCACCCGTAGTACCAAATTGTGGTTCTCTAGTTAGACCCCATGTCAAATCATTCCAAGGACTAGCCGAGGAGTGAAATAACATCACCAGTTTA